GGAGAGGGAGAGAGGGGGGAGGGGAGAGGGAGAGAGAGGGGGGGATGGGGTAGAGGGAGAGAGAGGGGGGGATAGGGTAGAGGAGGGAGAGAGAGGGGGGGAGAGAGAGAAGGGGGGAGAGGGAAAGAGAGAGAGGGGGGAGAGGGAAAGAGAGAGAGGGGGGAGAGGGAAAGAGAGAGAGGGGGGAGAGGGAGAGAGAGAGAGAGAGAGGGGCAGAGGGAGAGAGAGAGGGGGGCAGAGGGGGGGGAGGGGTAGAGGAGGGAGGGAGAGGGGGGATGGGGTAGAGGAGGGAGGGAGAGGGGGGGATGGGGTAGAGGAGGGAGAGAGAGGAAGGGGGGATAGGGGAGAGAGGAGGGGGGGGGAGAGGGGAGAGAGAGAGGGAAGGGGGAATAAAGATAATTCTTAAGACATTTAGAATGAAGACATTATTATCATTTGTATTCATAATTGGGAATGTGGAGAGAGAGAGTGAGAGACGGAGAGTGCTTACTGCGGGGATACTCTGGAGGAACAGAGTTCACGGTCGAAACAGTTAATAACCTGATGATAATAACCCTCGCATTGGACACGGCGCCTCATCGCGACGCCTCAAAGCGCCTCAGCGGGGTACGCCGCAAAGTCAATTGATTGTATATCTTGTGGGCGAGACGCGGCAGGCAGTTGCGCACAGCGCAGCGGCCCACGAACAGTCGTGTTTTTTTGGAAGAGATTATTACCCCCACCACCACCACCCACCCACCACCCACCCGGAAAAGGGATCCGCCAATTGACTGACAAACTGGGTTTCCTACTTACTTGCCCGGGAATCGAACCCAGGTCCTCTCACTCGCAAGGCGAGCGCTCTCGCCGCTGACCTCCGGGACTCCGTTTGACAGATCGGTTGATATTGAGGGATAAAGAATTCGCAGCAGGCAGTTGAAGGAGTTAATGTTGGGGAATAGAAAGTCAGTAGTAAGAAGTAGAGGCTGTAGCAGAGCTAATCGTGAGAAACCGAGTATTAATTGTGGGAAATAACGCTAATTTCTCATTTTGTCCACAAAATATACAGTCAATTTACAATATTCTGTGCAGCACTTTGAGACGTCTCAATGCCGTGATAAGGCGCTGTACCAAATGCAAGGATTATTATTATTAATGGTGGGAAAGAGTCTGTCGTGGGGGCAAAGAGGAAGTTAATATTGGAAATGGGAGAGTTAATGGTGGCGTACAGAAAGAGTTATAACAGATGTTGCTTCCAGCAGGAGAGCAATTGCAGCCAGAATCCTGATTTGTATTCCTTGCCCTGTGGGTATTCCACTGCTATTTTCCGCTGGAGTACAATTCCACGCCCTCGGTGGCCTGAAGGAGCTTGCCCAATTCGCTGTTATTTTATGGAGAAAATTACAATGGAATAGATTTAGTGAGGGTAGCAACAGGTGGAGAGCTTTTCACAGCACTGTAGGGGAGGATTTCAAGAGCACAGACAAGATGGCCTCTCCTGTTTCATGGCTCTGTGGCAGCACTTGTTAAGGAAGGACTCCTGTTGAGGAAAGTATGGGGCTCTGATTGCATGAAACCTAAGACAATTTTGATCATTAAAGAGCATTTTGTCGGCATGGGTACTCGCACAGTGAATGTCGTCACCCCGTGTCAATGTTCCGCGCGCATTCAATACTTCCATCATTTGTTCAACATCGTAATGTTTTATTACTTTAAAAACATTTTTTTAAAAAAGTAAACAGAGCACTCAGTGGGACCCGCAGTTGATTCCTGGAAGAATGATAAAGTCAGTCCCCTTTTCCACAGTTCCATTTGTCCAGAGACAGCACCAATGCAAAGCTCTTAACCACCCCGGTGACAGAGGGATGCTACAGAGATTCCTCATCCCTGCTGTCCTCCATAGCAGTACTCAAATTTGTCCTGCCGTCTTGGCGATGGTGGTATTTCTGTGGTTCCAATAAGTGGGGGGGTTACAGATGACATTGTCAACCCATGCTGAGTTAGAAGTTGCATTTGAATCAGTAGATTGTGGTATTCAGTATTATCAATAGGAATAGACATAATTTGGCTCTTATAGTTACCGCTGCTGCTTCATTTGAGATAGACAAAGAATCTATTTTTATAAAAATATCTACAAAAGAATTGCAATGGATCTAGGATTACCATCCCCTGATCAGAACTATCTAGTCAAACTGCTGATCAACCACATTTCATTCTCTTCAAGTATCTAATTTCTGTTTTGAGAATAAAGAAAGAATTTGTGATTTAATTTCATCCGAGTTTTTCATCCTATTCTACACAGCAGTGGAGGAAGTGGGTGGATGGTATGGAAGAGTTCACAATACCTCACTACAGTTTACAGTAATTACCTGTGAAGCGCTTTAAGACGGTTCGACGTTTTTAAGGCACTATATTGAATTATCACGGTTGTCCCTGAATGTGCAAATGAGTTCATCAAGCACTCAGAGGGAAGACAGATTTACAAGGGAGTCGGATTCCCTAATACTCAAGTCAGTGTAAACAAATTGTAAGGAATTTTGAAATTGCATATTAAAAGCTTAATGTAGAACTTCAATAAAATCTTTGGATGTGAATTTTTTAAAAAAAATTATTTTAGGGTGTCTAGATTTAGACTGACTATATATACACTGATGCAGGAGAGGTCAAATTACATGGTCAGAACATTTTGTAGGCAACAAATCACTATAACTATACCCAGATCCTGCTGGGTATCCACTCTTTCCACGAGCCGTTACTGATATTGGAGATTCTAATAGCCATTTTACATAATAATTATTTATTACAGTCCTTAATTTTCAAAAATGATTGATAAAATGTACTGCACTTCAGACCTAGGCTCTTCAAAAATGTAATCGTAAATTGTGGCAAATGTAATGACAGGAATAAAGGCACTCACCTCTCACCCATCAATTTTACCTGCCTAGACCGAGACATCAGGACCACAATCCAACCTCAAGTGTTACTATTCAATGCTGGCAAAGAGGCCAGCCAAAGGGATTCAGTTGTATATGATTGCTAGTCCTTGCTGACTGTTTAGCCCAAGTATTTAATTTTACCCTTACATCATTTGACACAACCTCAAGTCCAAACCCAGGACTCATCTTTCAAGGGTGGACATTATAATTGGATTCCACCTGCTCTCTGTGACTGAACAAGTGATCTCTCTTAAAACAGTATGCTACAGTTTTGCCATTATATACAAACAGTGGCGAATGGCTGTTCTTCAATACAGACAGGTAAGAGGGCAGGAATAATTGAAGTCGCTGGGAACATTCAGCAGGTAAGGCAGCATTTCTGCAGAGAGGAAAATAAGTTCACGTTACGGGTCAATGACTTTCGTTCTGTAACGTTAACTCACTTCCCTCTCCATAGATGCTGCCTGACCTGCTGAATGTTCCCAGCAACTTCTGTTCCTGTTTCAGATTTCCAGCATCTGCAGTTTCTTGCCTTTTGGGCAGGAATAATTATTTAGCGTATGGTCCAGTGCAGATAAATCTTTTTCCGGGTGGGTGGGGCGGCTTGTATTCTGCAGTACATTGGTTTGCTAGGTTAGCCTCATAACTTTCCTAAACGTCTTTTAACATGACCTCCCCATGTGTTGCACAGAACACAATAACAACAAATTGCATTTGTATAGTACCTTTCATGTCGGGAGAAAGTCCCAAATACAGGATGCTCAACACCCTTGAAAAGCCAGGGACCACTTTCACTGAAAAGATCAGCAGTTCTGTTCCTTTATTCCCAATGTTGAAGCATTTTTGTTGAACTGGTGAGATGCAATAAAGTTACCCGGTCCTCTGCTCTGCATCCAAAGTGCTCTATTCACTGAATGTATGGGTTCAACAGGACAATTCTCATTCCATGCACAGTATGTTCCACGAGGCACAGGATAATAGTTTCCTTAGTTTGACTGGCATCCTGAGTACTGTGAAGATTTCGCCCATTGGCATGGACCAACGTGTATTTGAGTCGATAATTATTATGGGTAGGTGAATTGGTCAGGATCGTGAATAACACAAACTCACGATTGATGAATCCTGAGAAAGAAGCTCAATGGCCTCCGATTTCTCCCCCACCCCAAACAGAATAGAAAACAACTTGTGTTTAGGTTGTCAGCTATCCCATTAGGATTCTAATGGTGGCCCTTCTATGTCCTCTTTATTTCCGATTTTATTGGGAGGCTGTTGTGCCAATAGTCTGGATTGTCAAAGGCAAGGATGTCACCCTCTGACACGAACACAGTAGTGTCCTCCAGGTACTCTGGATTCTGCACAGCATTCACACAGCCATTGAGGTAGGTCCGTTTGTTCATGTACTCATACTCCTGATCTTTGCTTTGTTTCGGGTCAGGTGCAATGCGATCGTGAGAGGATTGTGGATTGTTCACAGAGCTGGGTTTCTTTTTCAAGGCATCCACTTCACCGGCAGGCTTCAGACTTCCTGAAAACACAACAACAAACAATCATGAAACAACAACAACTTGCATTTATACAGCGCCCCTCATGCAGGGTAGCGACCCAGAGCGCTTGACAGAGGCGGAGCATGACGCCGGGAGGGGAGGAGGTGACTGTAGGCACGGTCAAATAGGAAGGTCTTCAGGCAGGACCTGAAGATGGAGAAGGAAGGGGCAAGGCAGATGGATAAAGGAAGAGTGTGCCAGAGTTTGGGAGCACAGTGCCTGAAAGCACGGCCAATAATGGTGGAATGGAGGGCACGAGGGACATGCAGAAACATTCAGGAGTTTGACATGCTTCGCCCCATTTGTGTCCAATTAGATTGTATTACTGTTTCCTCTGGTGGGGGAATCCGAGAACACAGGGACATAATCTTAAAATTAGAGCAAAATTAGGAGTGAGATCAGAAGCAGTTTTTCAACCAAAGGGTAGTGGAAATCTGGAACTCTCCCAAAAGGCTGTTGATGTTGGATCCATTCAAATTTTCAAGACTGAGTGGACAGCTATCTGTTCGGTAAGGGTATCAAGGGATATGTCCTTTTGCCTCACTTCCTCCCTGACTCCTTCAAGGCCCATCTCAAGACCCTCCTCTTCGACCGCGCCTTCGGTCACCCTTGCCCTACACCCTCCCTGATCCTAACCCCCAGCTCAGGTCCCAAACCCCTGACTGTCCAGGGCCTTGGGACATCCTCCTGACATGAAAGGCGCTGTGTAAACGTGATGAGTTGTGGTTGTTGCCTTACCAGCTGTAGAGTTGCTTCTCTCTGGGATGACATAACCATTCACATCCACCTCTGCTTCATCAGAGAGAGAAATCATGATGTTGGTGCCATTGGAGAAACGCGCACTACTGTCACGTGAGCGGGACTCCCGGGGCTGTAGCGTTCCGTTCAGAGATATATCTTCATAGAAATCCAGCGATGATGAGGTGCCACGCCCTTCCGAGGACTCGGAGATAGTCCGTGTTGTGGACTCGTTTCGTACTCTCAGAGAAGGTTTGGACCCCAGGTCTCCGGTCTTCATCCCAGTCTAACAAACACAGGAAAGGTCCCTGCATTACACATCAGCACATAATAATAATACTTGCATTTGATATAGCGCCTTATCACGTCAAGACATCAAAAAAAAGAACCGCACTGTCAGCCTGGACTGCGAACCAGGAATTGTGTACAATATCTGTGATATAATAATGTATAATTCTTTTTATGTAGTGTCTTATCACGTCTTTTTGATAAGCACAGAATATACTGTAAAGTAAATTGGAAAGCGGCATCCAATTGCACATATCAGAGAGCCACAAGCAGTCGTGGATTGAGTAATTTTTTTTAAAAAAAAGGGATTATTACCCCCGGAAAAGCAATCCACCAATCGACTAACAACTGGGTTCAACGGGGGGGGGGGGGGGGGGGGTGGAGTACGGAATCTTGCGTATCATTTCGCCCCAAATTTTTATAATTCTGACTTTTTAAAAAAGAATTATTTAATGAGATCCCATTCGTGACGCATTATAATCCATTGTATATAATTAATTCTTGATAATTCATTCCAAATAGCTATTATTCATCCAGTCATGATCGGCCACGGTAAGCGACAATGCGGACATGATCAAGGGCACTTGGTTGGGATGAGCACCTCTCACCCCTGTTATTGACCCATTATAACACGTTTCACTTGTACGTACCTGTCGGGTCCCATCTGTACCAATCTCATTCATGGGCATGTATCCTGCTGGTAAGCTGTTGCTCTACAAAGAGAAAACACACAGGCTTAATGGCTAAGTCATCTTAGAGGTCCTCTTGCTTCATTCAATGACTGAACTGAGAACTAAGAAAACCCAAACCAACTGAGATGAGGCATTCAGAGCGATAGCCATCTTACGGATTCAAACTTCAGTCAAACATTTCCACTTTCATTAGTTTGTGCCATCAAAATACAGGGTGGGAATATTTGTTAGGTCAGGATATTAAGGGATACGGGGCGAGTGCTAACCAAATATAGGATTCCACAATTCTGGTATGGTAGACTTTTCCCCACGTAACAGCCAGCAAGGGATCTCACTGTTTCTATTAAATGGGAAGAAGAGAACAGTCTCTCTAAACTTCTTGTCTCAGGATCCTTGGGAGCTGATCATTGGCCTCTTTCGTACCCTGTTTGAGTTGATTCTCTGTCTCGATCCAACAGATGTTGGGTTGTTCAACATAGGCTCCATCAATTCCTCATCTAAGTCACCGTAGTCCATAGGGTCTTCATCATACTCATGCAGAGCTCTCTGTTCACTGGTGATCGTGTTGTTGGCTTGATCTTCAACCTGAAGGAAGAGCATGAAGATACAAGAGAATAAGGAAAGGCTAGTTTCCAAGTCAGCGAAGTCTGAACAAAGTCTCCACAGTGTTGCTGCTGATGGGGATGCGGAAGGATACCTATTGCAGGTTGGAGGTCGAGTGAACAACAACAACTTGCACTTATGTAGTGCCCCTCATGCAGGGTAGCGTCCCGGAGCGCTTGACAGTGGAGGAGCACGACTCCGAGACAGGAGGAAGAGGGGAGGTGAGCTTAGGGATGTCTTCAGTCGCGATCTGAAGATGGGGAAAGGGGGTAAGGGGGAGGGATAATGGGTCAGTTTTCAGACGAACCTCAATTACTAGATATCTGTCCGGATCACGAGCCATCCGGGAAAATTCAGCACCAAGCTCTTTGAACGTGGGCCTACTCTCCTCATCAATCATCCAGCCTGTTGGGGGGAAGATGAAGGGGGAAAAAAAATCATATTTTATAATTTACTTGTACAGGTAATTGCTGTGACGTGTGGCTTGTTTCTGATTGGTATTCTCTCTACGACTTAATAGTAATATTACTTGCATTTGATACAGCGCCTTATCACGTCATTGAGACGTCTCAAAAGCGCTTCACAGGCTATACGGCAAAGTTAATTGACTGTATTTTGTGGGCGAAACACGGCAGGCAGCCAATTGCACACAGCAGCGGCCCGCAATAGGTCATGGATTGAGTGATCAGATTATAGTTATCATTTTTAGTTATTTTTGGAGGGATTATTATCCCGAGAAAGCGATCCACCAATTGACTAACAAGCGGATTCCTACTTACTGCGAGGTTAGCAGAAGAGAGTGGTGGAGTTAAGGATGCTTCACTTACAATAGAGTCAGCGAGACAGACAAAACACAAGAGAAACAAGAGAAAAATAAGCTCTCATCAACATTGGTGCCCAGTGTTAATGACATTTAACTTACATTTAACCATGACCATGTAGACATCAATGGTGCAGATTTGCGGCTGAGGCAGACGTTCGCCTTTCTCCAAGAGACCAGGGATTTCCCGAACAGGGATCCCTTGATACGGTTTACCACCAAATGTCATGAGCTCCCATATAGTGACACCTGTAAGAAGCATATTATGTAGTTCTCAGACTGGGCTCCAGTGCAGCAATTGGGACCAGCCCGATTGTGGATACAATAATAATAATTGCATTTGAAATAAAGCCTTATCGGGTCTTTGAGACGTCTCAAAGCGCTTCACAGAATATACCATAAAGTGAATTGACTGTATTTTGTGGCAGTTGTGCACAACAGTGTCCCACAAACAGTCATGGATTGGGTGAAAAGACTTATTATTATTCATTATTATTATTTATTTATTGTTTTGAAGGGATTATGACCCTCAGAAAAGTGATCCGACAATCAACTGACAACCATGTACCTACTTACTGCTTGGTGAACAGAGGCGTGTGGAGTACGGAAACTTTCCCAATGTTTCACCCTGTCCGGGAATCGAACCCAGGTCCTCGCGCTTGCGAGACGAGTGCTCTAACCACTGAGCTACAGGACTCTACATATGTGGATAACAGGTCATCACAGGAAATATACTGGATGTCCTGTATTGGCAACTTGCCCTTACACTAATATCACAAATTACCCTCCATCATTTGTGACAACGCAGTGTTTCCGGGGCACTGGACCTAATAATAATAATAATCCTTGCATTTGATATAGCGCCTCATCACGTCTCGAAGCGCTTCACAGAATATACGATAGTGGGCGAACCGCGGCAGCCAATTGCACACAGATGTGTCCCACAAACAGTCGTTAAAGGATGAAACAATGCCCCCAAAAGGGTGTGCACGACTCACCGTAACTCCAGACATCACTTTGATGGCTGTATCTTCTAAAATGGATGCTCTCCAATGCCATCCATTTAATGGGCATCTACAGAGAGGGAACGGACAAGCAGATTAAACACCGGGTTCAACTCTCACGAGCGCACAACAACAACTTTCGTTTGCACAGCGCCCCCTTGCGCAAGGTCGCGTCTCAGAGCGCTTGGCAGTGGCGGAGCATGATCCCGAGCCGGGGGTGGGTGGGGAGGGAGAGGTCTTCGAGAGGTCTCAAAGCACGTCACAGAATATACTGTAAAGTGAACCTTGCGGGCGAAACACGACAGCCGATTGCACACAGCGGTGCTCCACAAACAGTCACGGTTTGAATAACCCAATTTCTCTTTACATTAGTTTTTTTGGGGGGGAATCATTACCCCCAGAAAAGCGATCCACCAATTGACTAACTACTTACTGCTAGATAAGCAGAGGCATGTGGAGTAATGAAACTTGCCTAAGGTTTCACCCCGCTCCAGAATCAAACCCCGGATCCACAGGATTGACTGTATTTTGTGGGCAAACCATCTTTGTGAAAGAAATGTTTCGACCAGTGAGCCTTTTTTTTTTTTTTCGGTCTAGCATTCTCTGATGTCCTTACGTTCTAAGGAATACCGTTCCAAGAACAGATTCCCAGAGGATAACGTGACTCCACTTCAGTTACTGACCTTCACTTCATCGAAGAAGTATTTTTTCTCGTCCAACTCTAAGAGGTTGATGATGCCGAAGTCTGTGATCTGAACGTGACTGGGTGATTTCACCAGCACGTTCCTGGCTGACAGATTCCGATGGATCATTTTCCTCTCCTCCAGATACTTCATCCCCTACGGTGCAAAACATCAGGCATTCAGTGAGCCAGGGGGAATGGGAGTTGACCGTAGGCACGGTCGAATCGGAAGGTCTTCAGACGCGACACGAAGACCCGGGAAGGAAAGTGGGCAAGACGGGGGGCGAGAGCTCACCTTAGCGATCTGGACACACCAGTTGAGAAGCAGCTGCGACCGGATGCTATCCGCGTTCTTGCGGGTGTAATCGAGCAGCGAGCCGAGGGGCAGGAGCTGGGTGACGATCTGCAGCGGACCCCCGGGGCAAATGCCCAGCAGCCGCAGCACATGCTGGTGCTCCAGACTGCCCACCATCAACATGTCCTGCAACCAGAAAAAAAAAAGAGACATCAAACGAGAATAACAATAATCCTCGCGGTTTGATACAGCGCCTTGTCACGTCTTCGAGACGTCTCAAAGCGCTTCACGGAACATACTGTAAAGTGGAGTGACTGTACATTTTGTGGGGGAAACGGGGCAACCAATTGCTGACCGCACCTGGTTTCTCCCAGTGCCTTGGCCCACGGTCTTCCGCACTAATGGGTCACACACCTCATCAGCTGTTTGCGGGACCTTACTAAGCACAAACTGGCGGCCTCACTTGCCTACAGAAACGGTCACGATAATAATAACTGACGGGAATTACCTGCGAAGCATTTTGACTGATGTTAATGGGCGATAAAAGTATCTCTCCCTTTCTCTCTCTCTCTCTCGCTCTCTCTCTCTCCAGTAGATAATAATTCACAGACTTACCTCAGTAACAGACCTGGTCGTTTCACGGCCCGGCTCCTCCTGTAGCACCTTAATGGCTACTGGAATCTTCACCGATTCTCTGTCAGGAATCCAGAAACCCTAAAAAAAAACACAATGCACATCAAATAACCAGGTGTCTAAGTGGGCAAGTGCAGCACACGTATGCACATGTGTGTACAATTGCGTATAATTATAATAATAATAATCTCAAAGCACTTCACAGAATATACAGAATGTAAAGTGAATCGACTGCATATTTTATGGGTGAAACAGGGCAGTCAATTGCCCGCAGCCTTGCCCCGTAGTTTATTATAATCATTTTTTTATTAGTAATAATAATAATAATTCGCTAATCGACTAAAAAAACGGTTTCTTACTCACTGCTAGGTGAACAGAGGCGTGAGGAGCAAGGAAACTTGCCCAACTTTTTGCACTGCCGGGAACGAAACCCAGATAATAATAATAATAATAATAATAATAATCCTTGCATTTGATATAGCGCTCTTCACGTCGGGAGGACGTCCCAAAGCGCTTCACAGAACACACTGTAAAGTGAATTGACTGTATATTTCTGGGCGAACGCGGCAGCCAATTGCGCACAGCAATGTCCCACAAACAGATTAAAAATGACCAATTTATTATTGTTTTTGGTTTTGGAGGGATTATTATTAGGCTCTGTGTGGAGTAAGGAAACTTGCCCGAGGTTTCGCCCTCTGCCTGGAATTGAACTCAGGTCTCTCACTTGCAAAGCGAGTGCTCTAACCACTGAGCCACAGGACTCCACTGATCCTCTCGTTTGCGAGGTGAGTGCTCTAACCACCAAACTACAGGACCGCAGGTGCGCGCGCGTGTGTGTGCGTGTGTGTGTGTGTGTGGGGTGAAGCCCCGATACAGATAAACTATGCAACTGCAAAACATCTTTGTTTTTTGCCCTGCTCGTCACATTCTTTACAAAAACTCTCCTACGAGGTACAAGTGCTCACGTGAGACTGGAACAAGGCATCAGTGTTTGTGGGACGCTGCTGTGCGCAATTTTCCGCCGCACTAACCTCCCAAAATACACAATCCGCTTTACAGTATAATAATAATAATAAGATATTCTGTGAAGCCCTTTGAGTCGCCTCAACGACGTGATCAGGTGCTGTATCAAATGCAAGGACTATTATTATTTAGTAACATTGATGGCTATTATTAATTATTCCTATTGATTATCCTTCATTAATTATTCGTGTGTGATTATCAATTGTCATCATTATTAATCATTTATTGTCAATCACTATTATTAATCATTATTAATAATCATTGTTCATTATTATGGACTGAGGTGAGAACGCCTTAAGTTTCTCTTTCTCACTCATTCTCTCTCTCTCTCTCTCTTTCTCTCTCTCTCTCTTGCGTTTTGAGTGGTGATAACGGAGACGATAAAAATAAAAAGCTTCCAAAAGTTCTGACCTTGTAGACCGTCCCGAACACTCCCGACCCCAGGACCGTCAACTTGCGAAGTTCCGACTCTTTCAGGATCCGTGTGTTAATCTGACTGGGTGCTTCTCCGCTGGGATCCAGGGGATCAGGCATCTAAGTGAAAGGAAAACAGTAACAACACCAACAATTCTAACGATGGGGTTGCAATTCTTTTTTTGCGTATCTTATGCTCTTATCATTGTGGGATACGCTACGCGGGTAGTTCCGGACCTGGAAGGCGAATTAGACTGACTTTTATTGGTCCAGCATTTCTTACGCTCTTACGTTCCAGAAGTCACTGTGCTAATCGCAGACTAAAATGTGAGATTTGGGAATTAATATAGCAATCCTCCACTGGACACCAACAACAACCAATACTCTGGCTGCTCCTATCCTCCCACAAAATATACAGTCACTCCACTTTACAGTATATTCTGTGAAGCGCTTTGAGACGTCTCGAAGATGTGATAAGGCGCTAAATCAAAGGCAAGGATTATTATTATATATTATTGCTCTCTGTGAGCCCTCACACAGCCAAATTACCCTGGAAGGGAGGGGCAGAAAGGCAAACCGGGTCTCCTTGGGGCTGAGTTGGCTTCAAACTGACAAACCTTGCAATGTTCTCAGTTCTATTTGGCTCTGTTTATGACAGCCTGGCTCTTCGGCAGAATTGGGAGGCTCAGGTCAATCATTGGGGGGGGGGTGGGGGCGGGGGCAGGGAATCTTTCCACTTGACTCGTTGTTAACTCTGCAAACCAAAGCCCTAATGGGTAGGTTGGTCCTTGTTGGACAAGCAGCGGGAAAGCTTGCCGGACAGTGTTGGTGGCGGCAAAGGATGTGGTTTTAGCCTCATCCCAAACACCGAACTCCAGGTTCGTACCTCGGTCTCCAGATATCGCCGCATGGCTCGCTTCTTCTTAATGATCTGCCTCCTCCAGTAAATGACGGCAAGTAGGAACACGAGCTTCGCGACCACCAGCCCTCCTATGACCGCCGCGACGATCTGGGGAATCCGCCTGCGTTCAGAGTAACCCGGGTCAGGGATGGCAAGTCGAAAAGCGACGGAAATATTACACAGGTTATAAAAGTTAACGTGTTTCGTTCATCCACGTGAGCACGGGTTAGTGAGGTGTTAGGAGACAGCAGCGACCCTGAGCTTTGAAAGACGTTTGCTTTAGAGCCCGGAGTCTTAACACTTGCTATTTGCCAATGCTACTTGTTATTTTCCGTACCTTCAGCCGCTCGCCTACCCTCTCTGCCTCCCACCCTCCCACACACACTCGAGGACAGTCCCATGTCAAGGGATAGCGGAACTGGGGTGCGTTGTTACCTATCGCTTAGCACTTTGCTGGGGTCCTTCCAAAGATAGAGAGAGCAGTGCAGCAGAGCAGGACCCTTACACCTGGATTGAAATCAGAATGAAAGAGAGATGAGGCAATGCAAACACGTTGATAGTACCTATTGATGGGCTCTCCACAGCCTCCGGGACCTGGTCCTTGACACCTGTGGACAGCGAAGCAAAAGGTCACAGGTCAATCCACAAAACAGCGCGTCAAAATCCAAATTTTCCCCACAAATTATACAGTCAATCCACTTTCCAGTATATTCTGTGAAGCGCTTTCAGACGTCTCGAAGACGCGATAAGGCGCTATATCAAATGCAAAGATGATTATTATTATTAATATTATATTATATTATAATAAACAGGGTTGGTATGTTTCAATAAATCGTAACCTGGACAAATCACGGCTTAAATCAACACTAAGAACAAAAGTACATTTGGTCACTCAATCCACAAGCGGTTGCGGGGACGCCGCTGTGCGCAATTGGCTGCCGTGTTTCGCCCACGAAGCGCACGGTCTTAACGGTGCATTCTGCGAAGCGCTTCGAGGCGTCTCAGTGACGCGATAGGGCGCCGTGTCAAATTCAAATCCAAAATCGTCAACCGCAATCTGCTTCTTGTTTAAGAAGGGAAATGAGGAATTCGTGCGCGGAGAGAGGAAGAGCCGCGCTGATTGACGCTGATTGACACCAGGGGTCACTGAAGACAACTGTTTGAACACAGCTCAAGTGCCAGGGATTTGAACCCACGGAGAGCCACTGGGGGGAGCTGGCGGTCAATATTGAAGACCGCAGCGTGGGATCCTTTCTCGCGTCTGGTGTTTCGCACGTGGAACGCCGGCACTGTTGCTCGAGGGTCTCCAATCCAAGCTGTGGTTTCCATGCATCCCACCTACACATGCAAATCCCAGAGATGGAGTGCTGGAACGCCCACTCTCTCTCTCTCTCTCTCTCTCTCTCTCCCCCCTGGAGGGACGCCCTCCTGCTTACCTAATTCTGGAGAGTATTAGCCGTAGGTTGGCAAGAGCCAAGGCTTCGTGGGTGGGGGTGGGGTGGGCGGGGGAGCCCAGTGTCCGCGCTGGGGGTAACTGCTGGAGTCTAACCAGCTAAACCCACACACATAGCTTGTCGTTGGGAGCGCGGTCTGGCCACCCTCCCCGTTTGGCTTTGGCTGCGGGGTTAACAGGAGCTGAGGGGGAGGATTCCCTGGCCCCAGTGACTGGTCTGCCCCTTCCAAGTCCTGCCCATGAGCTGGGCCGGGCTGTGCTGTCATCAGCAATGAGCGCCCTGGAATAGTGCTCACACCAAAACTAGTCAATAAAGACAGTTCCGTACTGTTTTACTAATAATCCTTACATCTGATATAGCACCTTATCACGTTGAAACACCTCAAAGTACTTCACTGGGTTTTGTAGGCGAACGCAGCAACTAATTTGCACACATGAAGTGTACGACCATTTCTTTGAGATGATCTCGAAGGCGTGACAAGGCCCTGGGTCAAATGCAAGGATAAGTATTGGTATTTTTTCCACCCAGGATCTCTGCGACTCACCCTTGGGTACAGTTCTCGTGGCAGGGCTTGCACTCGTGGTTTTTGTCCGGGTATTTGTAAATGAGCCCCCGCTCTCCCTGAATCCCCTCCGGACATGTAGTCACGCAGTTGGGGCCGTCCTTGTATTGTGCACATCGGATGCAGTTCCCGGGTCCCTGGAGAGACGGGGCGGGATTAAAATACTAAACGACGTTTACACAACGGCTCCTGCACGTTGGGAGGACCTCCCAAGGCGCTGGACAACTCAAGGATTTGGACCTGAGCTTGAGACCAGAAGGGGTGGAGGAGGGCAGAGAGGGTAGGGATAGGAGGGTGACCGAAGGCGCTGATGAAGAGGAAGGTCGGTGTGATTGACGCAGAGCAGGGAATGGGGTTTGAGTAGAGAGCCCCAGTCGGGGGAGCGAGCACCAGCACAGACACGATGGGGAGAGAGAGCGCAGGGGAATGGGGTTAGGATTCCATGAGAGAAAGAACCAAAGGAGGAGGTCTCCTCTTTACCGTTCCGTTGCAAGTGAGGCCTTCCTCCATTCTCCGACACTCTGGGTGACACTGGATGCAGATGGTCGAGCTGTTGTACTCCCGGTGGTCCCTGAAAGAGGAACAGAGGAGAGGTATTGCAGCCATTTGGGGTTTGATGACTATTTGGATCAGATTTAGACCAGACTAATCCACACTCTGGGACTTGCGGGATAAACAACAACAACTTGCATTTATACAGTGCCCTTCATGTGGGGGTAGCGTCCTAGAGTACTTGACGTTACACGAATGACATTTCACGTCGGGAGGATGTCCCAAGGCGCTGGACATGTCAGGGATTTGGAACCGAGCTGGGGTGAGGGGGGGTGTGGGGGTTGGGATCAGGGAGGGTGGAGGGCAAGGAGGGCAGGAGTAGGAGGGTGGCCAAAGGCTCGGTCGAAGAGGAGGGTCTTGAGATGTGCCTTGAAGGAGGCAAGGGAGGGGACGAGGTGAAGGGACTGTGGGATGGGGTTCCAAAGGGTGGGGGCGGAGAGGCGGAAGGTTCAACCACCGATGGTGTTGTTCGACACGTACCCGTCCTGGAAATGGCAGGATTCCACGCAGGTGCCTTCACGGCTGTAATTCTTGCAGGACAGACACTGGTCGGGGCCAGGACCCCAACAGCCACCACTGGAGCACAGAGGGTCACAGGTCTTGTTTTCATTCCCTGGGAGAGAAGGAGAGAGAGAGTGAGAAATAAAGGGAGCAAGTGAGAACGAAAGAGTGAGAGAGGGAAGGAGAGAAAATGAGGGAGAGAGAGAGAGGGTTGGGGGAGACAGAAGAGGGGGAGAGGGTTGGGGAAGAGAGAGAGAGTGATGGGATTGGGGGAGAGAGGGGGGGGAGTTGGGGGATAGAGAGAGGGGGAGAGAGGGTTGGGGCAGAGAGGGGGTTGGGGGAGAGAGAGAGAGAGAGTTGGAGGAGAGCACGAGAGAGAGAGAGAACGTTCACGGACCAACAGAGAAACCAAACATGAATGGTGGAAGCCGGGAAACATTGATGTTTAAGCTCTTGAGGTCAGGAAGTGGAATTTTCCAGCCAGTCAGGATTGACTTGACCAGACAGTCGGCTTAGGCAATAACCACAGTCTCCAGGAGCAAGCTCCGAGACCCTGAACAGGTCACCAGAGGAGACTGGTCTCTGGCAGTGCAGACAGACAGCTTGCAGACAGACCCACTAAGTCAGGCCCTGGCTCTGACACCCGGCGTCTCGGGCCTCTCCATCCCTTCCAGGTCTGAAGTTCTACCTGATTGTGGGGGTGTGAGCGGATCATGTGTCTATCCCGCAATTGCCTCCCCTCCTCTCCTATCCATCAAAGTTAGCGCAGACCAGGAATGGAGACTGTTTGCACCTTAATAATAATAATAATAATAATAATAATAATAATAATAATAATCCTGGCATTTGATACAGCGCCTTATCACGTCACTGAGACGTCTCAAAGCGCTTCACAGAATACACTGTAAAGTGAATCCACTGCATTTTGTGGGCGAAACGCGGCAACCGATTGCGTAAACGGCCGTGGATTGAAGTGACCCCATTTTTCGGGGGTGTTTTTTTTCCGAAGGAATTAATATCAACCCCCGGAAAAAGCGATCCGACAATCGACTAACAACCGGGTTCCTACTCACTGCTCGGTGCACAGAGGCGTGCGCGTGTGTGGCGTAAGGAAACTCGCCTAAGGTTTACGCCCTGACCCGGGAATCGAACCTCCATAGGGTCCACAGTCTGTGTCTCAACTGGAAGAAGCTTCAGTATTGTGGAAAGGACAATAGCTTTACCCTCTCCTCCCTCTCCCCCCTCTCCGTCCCTCTCCCCCACACCCCCACGCCCCAACTCCCTCCCCCGACTTACTGCAGGCATCTGCTGGACGGTTTTCCTTTATGACGGGTTTGAAGTTTGGGTCCCAGGAGCGGTAGAGGGATTTCCATTTCAGGGTGTGATAGTAACACAAGAGTTGGTTGAAGGCCACGTAAACCTTGCCAGCCCCGATCTCCTTCAGCGAGCGAAACCCCAGAGAGCGCACCCCACTCAGCCGCATGATCATCAGCGAGAAACCACGGCTACGGAGAAGCGAGAGAGAGGAGTGAGGGAGTGAGTGAGTGAGGGAGTGAGGGAGTGAGAGCAGAGCAATCTGTCACAGCATCTACCCTTTTGCGCTTTCCTACCATCCTCTACCCCGAACCCATCAACCCCATCTTCACCCGGGTCCACTGGTTCAGGGTTGAGGATGGGAGGACAGGGGACAAGGGAGGATTTACTGTCGAGTAACAGTAGCGCCAGACAGTTTGCGCACAAACAGACATGGAGTGAAATGCGAGTGACCAATTTTATTTGGGGGACTGTTGGTCAGGACATTGGGAGAGAGAGAAATCCTTCTTTAACGTCCACCTGAACAGGCCGACGGGACCTCGGTTTAACAGCTCATCGGAAGGACGGCACCTCCGACGATGCAGAGCTCCCCCAGGGCTGCATCGGAGGGTCAGCTTAGACTGCGTGATTCAAGTAAGTGACCCTTTGCTGTTTGCGGGACATCGCTGTGTGCAAATTGACTGCCAACGTCCACCAGCGCAACTCGGTTGCTATGCCCGACTGCAGCTCCGCTGCGGGAGATGATTTGATGTTGCATGCGGCTGTGTTAAGTGAGCAGATTGCTCGTGGATGACTCACTTGTATAGGGTTCTCCCTCCGATAGTGGTGAGGTTGGAGAAGACGCTAAAATCAGTCAGGTTTTCAGGCCAGGACTGAATGTTCAGGTAACCTGGTGATGAGGAACAGCCACATAATAATACTATGAATAATAATGATCCTCCTTGCATTTGACACGGGGCTTTATCGTGTCGTTGAGACGTCTCAAAGCGCTTCACAGAATATACTGTAAAGTGCAGTGACTGTGTATTTTGTGGGCGAGACGTACACACGCACTCAGACACAAATACACAGGCACACGCGCGCGTAAAAGCATACAGACAGACAGCCCGGCAGAGAGAAACACACACACACACGCGCACGCACACGCACACACCTGTTATCTCCTGGACAGTTCCAAAGACCTTCAGCTTCCTTGGATCCAGTGGGTCGATCTTATGATACAGGTCCCTAAAGCCAGTCAAAAAAAAACATCAAGACATATCAGCCTGGCCCAGTCGCTCGCCCTCTCACCTCCGGCTCCGTAAATTGTGGGTTCGCGCCCCAGGTTAGGGATGTCAGTTCACAGACGACAAAGCCTAACAATGAGCTTAACCTACGATCCTGTCTGCCCTTCCAGGTTGATATTAAAGATCCCACAGCGTCCTTTAGACCTAAAAAGGGAGATTAGGAGCTTCCTCAGGCAGGAGGTGGGGAGAACGGGGAGCTCGCTGCTGCCAGCCACGGCACCAACCTGTTTAAGAGGAAATTTGACACATCGTTGAGGAAGAAACGGATGAGAGAGGGCTGGAGGAGAGGAATTGTATGGCGTATAACCACCGGCACGGACTAGTTGTGCCAAACAATTTGGGTCTGTGGTATATAACTCTATGGAAGTGGGGGTGATAGAGTGATATATCACCCCAAACATCCCATCCCCACACCCAGCCCCCCACCACACACACGATTTTGACTGGTTTCCTTTTTATCTGGGACTATCATTGAAGAAAGGAGTGATCTACAGGGGAAAAAGGCAAGGAAATTGTGATGGAAAGGATCGCTGGCTTTAAAGAGCCCGCGAGGACACAATGGGCCAAGTGACCTTCCTCCGCGCTGTCGATTTCTACGGTTCCTGTGACGGATCCCAATTTGCCCTCCCCGGGGCGGGGGAGGACTTGCTCACCCGTTAATGCCGGTGATCAGAAAGTCCAGGTTTCCCGTGATCTTCGTGCAGTTGATGAACTGATCAATGTTGCTGGAATCCACGGTCTGGTACTTGCTCCCTGTTCCTGTACCTTCACATGCTGCCCAGGGGTGGTGGGGTGCGGGGGGGGGGGGTAGGGAGATACATGAGGAGACTTAATAACAACAACAATAATAATAATAATCCTTACATTTGATATAGCGTCTTATCACAACGTTGAGACGTCTCAAAGCGCTTCACAGGGTATACTGTAACGTGAATTGACTGTATATCTTGTGGGCGAAACTCGGCAGCCGATTGCCTGCAACAGCCAATTGCGCACAGCAGTGTCCTACAAACAGTCGTGGATTGAATGACCACAATTTTTTTTGGTGGGTGGGGGGATTATTACCCCCTGGAAAAGCGATCCGGCAATCAACTAACAACCGGGTTCCTACTTACTGCTGGTAAACACGGGCGCGTGTGTGTGAAGTAGGAAACTTGCCTAAGGTTTCGCCCTGTCCCGCCCTGGAATCGAACCCGGGTCCTCTCGCTTGTGAGGCAAGTGTGCTAACCATTACGCTACAGGTCTCCATCCAAGCCTTGGCATATCAAGTCTTGGTTAGTGCTTTCTCTGGAGGTGCCTGATATAATCCCACTCTCTTCCTGCCCTCTCCTCACTCAACACCCTTTTATGTTCCTGTGCCATGGATTGGGATCTCTGTGAACGTCTCAACATCTTTGTCCCCACACTCTGGAACTCCATCCTGCAATCCCTCCACCTCTCCCCCTCTCTTACCTCCTTCTAAAGACCTTCCTCTTGGACTGTGCCTTTGGCCACCCTCCCACCCTTACCCTCCCTGCTCACCCCAACTCCCAGCTTGGGTCCCAAACCCCTGATTGTCCAGCGCCCTGCAACGACTTTCCAATGTGAAGGGTGCTATACAAGCGTGAACTGTTGTTGTTGTCTCTCCTCACCCTTTGGACACAGGCCGCTGCACGGCTCGCACATTTTCACGCCGTTCTTTTCCACTTCGGTTTTGTCGTTGGGACAAGTGCGGACGCAGGAGCTCTGGTCCACGATAAAGTTCACTGGTGATGAGAAACAAGGGGGAGATGTTCATACACTCCCTGGGGCTCTCTCGCACTCGCATCACCTCCCCTCCCCATCCCTCTCCCAATCCCAGCCCCATTCCCCTCCCAAACCCCCTCTCAGCCCCAACCTCCCTCCCAAACTCCCGCACACTCTGGGCTCCCCCCAAACCTTGGCTCTTGCCAACCTGCGCCTAATACTTTCCGGAATTAGGTAAGCAGGATGTGAACCAGGAATGAGAGAGAGAGAAGGAGAGAGAGAGAGAGAGAGAGAGAGCGCATTCCACTTCAACACTCTATCTCTGGGATTTCCATGTGTAGATGGGATACATGGAATTCTCAGCTTGGTTTGGAGACCCTTAAGCAACGGTGATGGGTTTCCTGTGGGTCCGACAGAAAGAGAGAGATGGTTGGTGCACTTACGGGGACATTCCTGGACACAGAACGCTCCGTACATGTACTTGGTGTCTGGGTTGTGCTCTAGCTGGTAAGTCTGCTTGTTGTATATGAGCGGCTGTGGACAGACCACGACACAGGCGTTGCTGTCGTTGAAATGCCTACACGCCTGCGAAGAGAGCGAAGGCATGGAAACCAGTCAGTAATAGGGTCTCAAGTAGGAAACAACAACAATTTGCATTTACACAGCGTGACAGCGTCTCTGAGCGCTTAACAGTGGCAGAGTCTCCAAAGCCGAGCTGGGGGGAGGTGTCCGTAAGCACGGCCGAAGAGGAAGGTCTTCAGTTGTGATCTAACAACGGGGATGGAGGGGCAAGGCAGAGGGATTGAGAAAGAGGGAGTTTTTTATATATGTGTATGTAATAACTTGCATTTGATATAGCGCTTTTTCATGTCTTTGAGACGTCTCAAAGCGCTTCACAGGACACGCTGCAAAATTAATTGACTGTGCATTTTCTGGGAGAAACATGGCAGCCAATTGCGCACAGCAGCGTCCCCACAAACGGTCGGAGATCGAGTTCAAAATCTTCGAGGAAGGGTGAAGGGTGTTCGCAGACGAGCGAAGAAAACGAAGAGGCAGAAATACTCACAAAGCAGTCGGTGTCTTTGGGCCCAGAACAGCCGCCCGCACACTCAACGTGGCAACACTCGCTGGGGTTGGTGCCAAAGCAGCGGCCATTACACTGAGGCGCGCACACGATCTTCGTTACTGTGAGGAAGAGGAACAGGGTCAAAATCAGAGGCTCGTGGACGGCGTCGGGCTTTGCAGACTAACCAGTCAGGTTGCCAACTGGCCGGATTTTTTTATATATAAATAGCCTCGCCAGCTAAAAACCAGTAAAAAAATATATAATTTGCTCTTTTTTTTTAGCAAATCACCTGTTAATGGGAAACGCCCCCATCCCCACACTCCTCTATTCGTCATTTACCGTCTACTTCTCTTTTGAAGCCCACAACGGACTCTGTCTCGACCACCTTCCCGGGCAGAGCGTTCCCACTTGCCACAAATAACCGTTACTCCACCTGACGATTGCTGTAAACTACAGAGAAACTACTTCCTCGGGTGGGTGGGGGGGGGGGGGGGGGGGAGGAGGGGGGGATTCAGAAACAGGGAGGCATCATCTTAAAATTAGAGCCAGGCCAATTTCGGAGTGAAATCAGGAGGCGGTTTTTCACCCCAAGGGTTAGAGGAAACCTGGAACTCTCTTCCCCCAAAAGGCTGTGGATGTTGGATCCATTTCACATCTTCAAAGCTGAGGTGGATAAATGATTGGTAGGGTATTAAGGGATACCTCCCCTCTGTTTCTTTTAACAACTATTTTAAATCGGTGCCCTCGGGGTACCGGCCCACCCGCCCGCCCGCCCGCCAGTGGGAGTAGTTTCTCCTGTTCACCCGATCGAATCCCCTCATAATTTTGACAACTTCTATTTAGTCTCCTCTTAACCTTCTCTGCCCCAAGGAGAGTAATCCTCGCCTCTCTCGCCGCTCCTGATCACTGAAGTCCCTCAGTCCTGGTACCATCCTGGTCAATCTCCTTTGCACCCTCTCCAATGCCTTGACATCCTTATAACGTGTGGTGCCCAGAACTGAACGCCATCTCTCGCTGAGGCCTAACCAATGTTTTATAAAGGTTCATCATAACTTCTTGACTTTTGTATTCTATGGCCCTAATTATAAAGCCGAGTATCTCGTACATTTTTTTAAAACAGCTTTATCTCCCTGTCCTGCCACCTTCAAAGATTTACTTATATGAACCCCCAGGTGTCTCTGAGCACTTATAAAGCAATGTCTCAGGGCCTGTGACATAAATTGAACACGGAGCGGGACTTACAAGTCTGGCAGTTATTCACCCCAGGTCCCCAACAATGACTATCACAAACATGGTCACACTGGCTACCTTGGGAAGAGGAAATGAGTCATTAGACACGTTTGCAACAACAACAACATGCATTCACACAGCGCCCTTCACCCAGGATAACATCTCGGACCGACACAGAGGCTTAGCTGGGGGTGGGGGTGTGGGGGGGGGGCGCGGGGATTTAGACCTGAGCTGGGGGTTGGGATCAGGAAGGGTGGAGGACAGGGATGGTAGGGGTAGGAGGGTGGCCAAATGCCCGGTCAAAGACGAGGGTCTTGAGACGTGCTTTGAAGAAGTCAAGGAAGGGAGTCAGGCAGAGGGAGTTCCAAAGGGTAGGGGCAGAGAGGCCGAAAGCCCGACCACCGATAGTGGGGCAGGCCGGGCGGGGAAAGTGGAGGCAGGCCGGGGGGGGGGGGGGGGAGGGGGCAGACGGGTTGGTAGGTGGTTAGCAGGTCACAGAGCAGACCCTGTTCTTCACTCCCTCTTAAGACTTACAATTCTTCGTGGCATAATCCACCTCTTTGATCTCCACGGCGGCCTGCGGCATGCGTAGGATATCCCTCCATTCGATGGTCTGAGCGTGACACAAGAAGTTATTGCTCTCCAGGTACACTCCCCCCAACAAGATCTCTGCACAAAAACACAAGCAGCGGCTCAACAAAGGTAATAATAATAATAATAATAATCCTTGCATGTGATATAATGTCTTATCACGTCTAGGAGACGTCTCAGGATTCACTAACTCACCCCTCTGTGAACGGCAACAACGGGGAGAGTTCCTCGGCTGGATTTAAGCCACTGTGGAGTCCTGTAGCTCAGTGGTTAGAGCGCTCGCTTCCCAAGTGAGAGGATCTGGGTTCAATTCCCAGGAGGGCGAAACGTTGGGCAAGTTTCCTTACTCCACGCACACGCCTCTGTTTTCCCAGCAGCAAGTAGGAACCCGGTTGTTAGTTGATTGGCGGATCACTTATCTGGGGGTAATAATCCCTTTAACTAAGACTAGATAATAATTTGGTCACTCAGCTGAACATCTAACCTGAAGGACAGGACAAGAAGCCTTCATTGCCTTTGCTACAAGCCTACAACTCGTGGAAGTGCAGTGACAAGAGGCTTGATGGTGTGATGGGGAAACCATGAGATCAGATGGGGCGAAGGGCCTTCTTCATCCGAACTTTTAATCTTTCGAGACGAGGTACATTGGGATCGTTAACGTCTTTTGTTTGGTCAGTTGGGTGACTGACACATCACCGTTGCTTAAGAATATCCAAACCAAGCTGAGATTTCCGTGCATCCCAGAGAAATCCCAGAGATAGATTGTTGGAATGGAACGTGCTCTCTCTCTCTCTCTCTCTCTCTCTCTCACACTCTCGCTCCCTGGAGGGACGCCCCCCTGCTTATCTAATTCCGGAGAGTATTAGGCGCAGGTTGGCAAGTGCGTCGTGGAAGGTTAACATCTCATCTGAAGGATGGCGCCCGTGCCATAGTGCTTCCCCCCCTCAAACCCCCCCCACCACCCCACCCCCTTCCAGCTCTGCATTGGGTGATCCAGGGTTTGAACACACAAACTTCTGACTCAGAGGCGGGAGTGCTGGCAATTGATCCAATGTGAGATCTACGTGGCTTTGGGTGTTGGGTGCACCTTTGGAGCTGAGCCAGAACTTCTCTGCAGGTTGGCTGGAGCCCAGGCTTCCCCGGCTGAAATTCTGGTTTGACAGAAACCAAAGCGCTCTCAGTGACTCACCAGCAAAGAGTCACAACAAAAGCAAATCTCTTAATGTCACTTGTCAGAGGCCTGATCGCCGAAACTCGAGGGAGAGAAGAATCAGGACTCAAGTGTTTGTGCAGCGACATGACACAGAAACAAAACAGACAGATACCATGGCTTCATCCTGGGCAAGGAGCCCAATCATTGGGGAGGAGGAAATGGAACGAGGGTTAGACTTTTGGGATTCTGAGTAAACAACAACAACGTCGATGTTTGCATTTGACACACAGTGTGTCATCCAGTACAAAATAGGCCTTCATCCAAAACAGCCAGTTGCTCCCAGGGGTACGTGTAGTGCAGGCTGTTTTGAGACACCCCTGACTGCCAGCAAAACAGCTCATACCCAGAGCCTAGCCCAGGACGGACTGGAGGCCATGGGATCAGGAGACGGACCCAACCACATTCCCCCACCCTCTGGAACTCCATCCCGAATCCCTCCCTCCTCGCACCTCCTCTCCCTGGCCTCCTTCAAGGCCCATCTCAAGACGTTCTTCTTTGACTGTGCCTTCAGTCACCCTCCTCCCTGAAAATGGGGAGAGATGAGGGAGGGCGAGGCGAAAGGGATTGAGGGAGAGAATTCCACAGGAAGGGGGCGAGGCAGAAGGATAGAGGGAGAGTGTTCCAGAGTTTCGGGGCACAGTAGCTGAAGGCACGGCCGCCGAGGGTGGAACGGAGGGCACGAGGGGCAAGCAGAAGGCCGGAGTTAGTCGAGTGGAGGCAGCAGATAGTTGGGGGGGGGGGGTAAGCAAGTTGGAGAGGTATGAAGTCCTTCCGACGTGAATGGCGCTGTCTAATTCCAATTTTGTAATTCCGAATTGACTGGTTATTATTAATGATTTAATTAATATGAATTATTGGAGCCATTGCTCCCTCCTCACCTGTCAGGTGTTTCAAGTCGAGATGCCTAAGGCCGTGGATTCCGTCCTTGCGATAGTTCAGGATGAGGGAGAGGGCGAAACGTTCCTCATACAGCGTCGTTCCACGGATAATCCGCAGGTTCTCCAGCGGCAGATTCTCAAACTGGTTCAAAGCCACTAACACGTAGCCAGTCACCTCCCGGATTGACTGCGTGACGAGATATGGGTGTCGTGCGTGCGGGTGGGTGGGTGGGTGTTGGGGTGGGGGGTAAGGGGATAAAAGGGAGGGGAGAAAAAAAAGAGGCGAAAAGATGATTATGATCATAATAACAACAACAACTTGCATTTGCTCAGTGGAGCGCTAAAAAATGGCGGAATCCCGATGCTGAGCCGGGGTGTGGGGGGGGGGCGATCGTGACCATACGCACGGCCGATGGGGAAGGTCTTCAAGCGCGAACTGAAAATGGGGAGAGAGGGGGCAAGGCGGAGGGATTGAGGGAGAGAGTTCCACAGCTTCGGGGGGGGGTGGGGGGGGGGGGGGGGGGTAGCGACTGAAAGCACGGCCGTCGATGGTGGGGCGGAGGGGACGAGGGGAGTCAGGCGCCAGTACAGGAGCCTGTGGACCCTGTGCGACCTCCCTCTCTGCGTCTCTGGGCGCTGCGGAGAGGGAGAGCTTGCGGAGAGGGAGAGCTTGCGGAGAGGGAGAGCTTGCGGAGAGGGAGAGCTTGCGGAGAGGGAGAGCTTGCGGAGGAAGCTGCCTTATATGGACAAGCCTGCGACTAAGCCGGGGATTCTCTCCCACATCCCTGGCCCCGAGCTGCTCCTGAGCACGTCCAGACACACACCGCGGTTTACCTGCGGTCTGAGATAAGAGCGGATTTCACGCAGTGACCTGCACTATCTGATGGTTGTGAAAACGTACACTTGTCTTGTCTCAGGTGGCAAACCCATCAGTTCCCACAGTCTGTGTGTGGGTGTGTGTGTTTGTGTGGGTGGGGGGTGGGGGGGGGGGAATGGGGAAGTAAGAACAATAATCCTCACATTTAATACAGTGCCTCTTCACATCAGTAGGAAGTTTCTGGCCAATATCCAGAAGACTTTCATCCTATCTGGACAGTCAAGGGCTGGGGGTTTGGAGTCTAGCGTCCTGGAGGACAAGGGTTGGGTTGAGGGAGGGAGGGTGACCGAAGGAGTGGTGACAGAGGAAGGTCTTGAGACAGGCCTTGAAGGAGGTAAGGGAGGGCGTAAGGTGGAGGGTGGATGGAGTTCCAGGGGGTGGGGGCAGAATGACTGAAGTCCCGACCGCCGATGGTGGGGCGGGCAGGGTGGGGGCATGGAGTAAGGCCAGTGCCAGCCGAGCGGAGGGCGCGTGAGAAGGTTGGTAAAGTTTTAGTGGGTCGCAGAGCTGGAGAGAAGCAAGACCTTCCTCTACGACCGTTCTTTCGGTCACCTTTCCCCCCCCTCTCCCACCCTCAACCTCACGGACCAGTCCCAGCTCGGGTGCCAGGCCAGGACGTTGGGACGTTTTGGTGTTGGGAGGTCCTCCTAAGGGGGGTGGATGCCGTGTGAACGGAGACATGAGTTGCGTGGGCAGGGGGTCGACTCGGCTGAGGTCGGAGAGTGAGCGTGTGGCGTGGCGTACCTTCAGGAAGGTCAGGTTGCGTTTAGCGTCGATGTTGGTGATCTCCAGGTTGCCCATGACGATCTCACAGTTATTGTACATCTTCTGCAGCTGCTGGTACTGCTGCTCGGGGTCAGACAGGGAGCTGAACTTGTTCTCAGTCCCAGCACATACTGTAACACACACGGAGACACAGTCACCATTAGCCTCCCTCCTTCCCTCCCTCCCTCACTCACTCACCATCCACCCATCCATCCATCCACCCACTCACCCACTCACTCACAGACCAACGCTCAGCTGGTGGGAACTCTCCGTCAACCGCTGTCTGCTCCCTCCGCTCGGCAGGCTCCGACCTGCTCCACATGTCTCCCCCCCCCCCCGGCCCAGCCCCCCTTCCACCAGCGGTAGCTAAACAGTCACTACGCCCAACGTCAGTATTCCTTTTAATAAAAAAAAATCCTTGCATGCGATCCAGCACCTTTCGCATCGGGGGAAGGAGGTCACAGAGCCTTTCGCAGGACCCACTGTGAAGGGTAGTGACTGGTGTGTTTTGGGGAGCGAAGGCGGGGAACGGCCTTAACCTATTCAAATCAATTCCCTGGAATCATTCCTGCGATTGTTTTGCTCCCGGTGGGGGGGGTGGGGGTGGGGGGAGGCTTTCGGCCGCCAAAGAAACGCGTTGTTATTTTCTGAACAGAAAAATACCCAAAGCTCTCAACTGAGAAACCGAATAAAAAAATTCTCATTTCTGGGACTAGGAAATTGGGGAATGTGAGATCCTGGGATTTTTATTCCCCCACATAGTGATTTCTTTGAACCCTCTGCCCTTCCCCTGTTCCTGGAACGCAAACGGGGGTTCGAAGAAAGGACAGAAAGAGAAGGGGAGGGGGTGGGGGGGGTGTGGATGAGAGAGGGGGAAAGGGGGTGGGGGTTTAGGATGGAAAAAAATCCCATATTGACAGTCTCTCAGGCGCCCGGTGACGAGGTAAGGCCAGAGCAGACTTGTCTCACTCAAAGGTTTGGTGTTTTTTTCACTGGGGAAAAAAAAGTGATGATTCCCACTGACAGGGCGGGACGCAGATTTCACATTCCTGCGAGTCACCTGCGGAGGTGAGATGTTCGTGGGTCTGAGAGAGAGAGAGAGAGAGAGAGAGAGAGGAGAGAGCGTGTGTGTGATGCAGAGGCAGAGAGCGGTGTGAGAGAGAGCAGACGTGAGCGAGAGCTGTACGGTGGAGAGCAAGAGAGATTGCGTGAGAGTGCGCGCGTGCGTGAGAGAGAGAGAGAGAGAGAGAGATGTTGCGAGGGAGAGCGCATGTGTGAGAGAGAGCGTGTGACAGAGAGAGCGATTGCGAGAGAGGGAGTGTGTGTGTGAGAGGGTGTGAGAGAGAGAGAGAGAGAGAGGGAATGGAGGTTAGAGAACCGAGGGGCGAGAGAAAGAGTGAGAGGAGTAGAGTGGGAGAGGCAGGGGAAGAGAGAGAGAGAGAGAGAGAGAGAGAGAGAGAGAGTAGAGACAGGGTTGTGGGCACTACCTCCGAGACTTTGAGACGTCTCGACGACGTGATAAGGCGCTATATCAAACGCAAGGAGTATTGGTATTAACGCGGTCTTAGTTTTGGACGGTTGGTTCGCTCTGGAGAGCTGCAGGAAGCCAAGCAACGAGCGGAATTTAGGAATTTCCCAAAGCTGGCACAAATGGTCTGCGAGGGCCAGGAATAGGTAGGAATTTGGGGAATTTCAGATGGGGTGGGGGGAAAAAAAAAGAGGTCTAGGATTCCACTCTGCACCGTTGGTCACCCATTCCTTTAAAAGGAGCGCAGACGATGGATGGGTTCGAGAGGGACTGCGGGACCGGAATAGACGCAGATAATCTCTGCGAGCCGGGCAGGCACTGCGAGGGGATTGATGTCTGGAATGCGACCACAGCTGAACAGTCCCCCCCCCCCCCCCACCCCCCCCCCGGGTTTCAGCCATCGTCAGTTTTCAAAGCCATCATTTTTTTTATACACATATATAAAATAAAAAAAATAAAATCAGACGCAGAGCAACACAACCTCACACAGGACTCGGTCTCGCTTCCTTCAATCCACGACTGATGGTGGGAAGCTGCCGGGCGCGTTCGGCCACTGCGCTCGGCCCATAAAACGCGGTCAATCCGCTTTATTATCTCTGCTGCGAGGACGTGATCAAACGGCGAGGATGATGATGACGATTATTATGATTATTATTAGTTCCTCATACCCGGTTACGCTCAACAACAACAGCCAATAACAAGCCCGACATCTCACGGAGCTTGGTAGCGAGCAAGAATAATCCTCGCATTTGATACGGGGGCCTTATCACGCCTTCGAGACGCCTCAAAGCGCTTCACGGAACGTGCTGTAAAGTGTAGTGACTGTATTTATTACCCCCCCCCCCCCGGAAAAGCGACCCGCCAATCGACCGGTAAACAGAGGCGCGCGTGTGCGTGCGTGTGCGTGTGTGGAGTAAGGAAACTTGACGAACGTTCCCTGCCCGGGAATCGAACCCAGATCTCTCGCCCTTGCGAGGCGAGCGCTCTCACCACTAAGTTACAGGGCATCTCACGCACAGAATTACTGCAGCCATTGCAACAGGACGTTGGCTTAACAAGACCTGTGACCAGACGGAAAGATGAACAGGTCCCTCGGTTTCCATGGGAGTGATTGGCAGCCCGGTCGGGCCGGGTGCGGAGCGGCGGGATGGGGGGAAAGGAGCGTTTGGGGGGCAGGTTTGGTAACCCCGGAATAGTTTTTTCCTCTGGTTCGCTCGTACTTGTTTGTCGCTGTGACTGTTTTTCCTGTTTACTTACAAGAATGCTGGGTCTGGCCGCTGCGAAGGTCTGAGCGCGTGGAGAGTCTCTGTAACGTGTGGAGCGAGCGGGTGTTTATCAACGCCATAACCCCCACCCCCCACCCCCTCCTCTACCCACCCCCACCCCACCCCACCCCACACCCCTCTCTCTGCGCCGTTGGAAAAGGGAAGGGAGTTCTCAGACAGATAGAATTGGTTGTTCGCTTTCATCTCTCTCACCTTCCACCACCCACCACCCACCACCCACCACCACAAGGCTCTCAACAACAACAACGCGCATCTATATAGCGCCCTTCGTGCAGGATAGCGTCCTGGAGCGCTTGACAGTGGCGGAGTCGGACGCTGAACCAGGGGGAGAGGGAGGGAGTGGGGAGGTCTTTCGGTGGGATTTGAAAGTGGGGAGGGAGGGGGCAAGGCGGAGGGATTGAGGGAGAGAGTGCCAGAGTTTTTGGGGGCGGAGTGTGGTGGCTGAGGGCACGGCTGATGGTGGAGCGGAGGGGAAGAGGGACAGACAGGAGGCCGGAGCCAGTCGAGAGGAGCCAGCGGGTGGTGGAGTGAGGGGGTGGGTGGGGATGGGTGAGCTGGTCGGAGAGGTAGAGAGGGAGGGAGGGAGGGAGGTGCGAGGGCATGAAGGCATCCGAAACGGGCGATAGGATCTCGAAATCCATCCGGCCGGTAACCGGGAAGCAGGTGGCGCCTGGCGAGGGCTGGCGCGACGGTGGTACGGAGTTTTGTTTACAACCGCGCTGGACGCCGGGTCAACGAGACGTGCGGTCAGCCAGGCCAGAGGGCAAACAACGGTGCCGCACGTGCGAGGGGGTGGGGGGGGAGGAAGAGCGCTACAAAGGCTCTCCTTTCAGCCGCGCCAGCAAATCAAATCAACGAACCGACCGACAGACAAACAAACAAACAAACAAACAAACAAGTAAATAAATCAACAAACAAATAAATCCTCGCCGCTGACACGGCGCCCTTCACGCCAGGAGGACGCCTCGAAGCACTTTGTCCTCCCTCAATCCACGACCGTTTGTGCGGACGCCGCCGCGCGCCATTGGCTGCCGCGTTTCGCAACCCACCAACCCCCCCACCCACCCCCCCACCCCCCCGGCCCCCCGCGCACCAGACGCCTCGACCACGTGATAAAAAAGGTGCTACGTCAAACGGAAGGACTATCAGCGTTGCTATCGACTCACGGGACCGAACGCAGCGCGGGGGGAGGGGGGCGTGAGCGTGGGCGAGCCCGTCCCTCGCCAAGAGTTGCCGCCAGCTGTGCCAGGGAGCGAGCGACAGCGCTTGACGTCGAGCGGCGTTGGATTGGAACGCATCTGCCAGATTTCCCGCCTGTCCACCCGGTCGTTTTGTCTGTTGTTTGCGACATTCCTGCACCAGACTTCAGTTCACTGCCCGACAGTGAACTTGGAATGTAGTCGGGGATTGCAGGCAAACGGGTTTAACCCTCCAGCGCTCGAAACCCAGTCCAGGAAAACAACACAGGACAGCACGCACACACGTGTACAAAGCACGCACGCACGCGCGCGCACGCGCACACGCCCCATGAACATGTATCACCCACACTGACAACACCCCCACCCAAGCTCTGCACCGTCAGCCCAGACCGTGCTCAACAACGCGTCAGGTGCTACACAATGACCCCCCCCACACACGCGCACACGCACACGCCTCTGTTGACTCGGCAGTAAGTAGGAACCCGGTTGTTAAGTCGATTGGGGGATTGCTTTCCAGCGGGGTAATAAAAAATTTACATGTATGTACGTGTGGTCGCTCAATCCATGACGGCTTGTGGGGCGCTGCTGTTGTGCAATTGGTTGCCCCGTTTCGCCCACAAAATACACAGTCAATTCCGCGTCACGATGCATCCAGTGAAGCGCTTTGAGACGACTCGACGCAGTGATGAGGTGTTTTGCCGAACGGTTTAACCCTCCAGCACTTGAAACCCAGACGAGGAAAACAACGCAGGACAGCACGCACACATGCGTACGAAACACACACACGCGTACGAAACACACACGCACACGCCCCGTGAACTTGTGTGGCCCACGCTGTCAACAACCCCACCCAAGCTCTGCACTGTCAGCCTCGACTGTGCGAGGATTATTGATGATTATTATATTAATAAGGGGAAAGTGGTGGAGGTGGTGGGTGGGTGGGTGGTTAGGGGCGGGGGGTTGGGGGTAGAGTATAGAGGGGAGAGGAGGGTGGGGGAGAGAAAGTAAAGCTAAAGGACGTTTGGGGCAACGTTGCGGAGAGCAGTGGGGCCGAGCCCGGAGCTCCATTCTGCGCAGGGGACCCGGAATAGACCCGGAACAGCTGGGAGCAATCCGGG